GGTATACGTCGACCGTAATGGATGTCATCTCAAGGTCTCATCTCCGCCAATACCGTTTTCTCGGACACCCCTGAGAGGTTCCTACTTTTACCACGTCTCATTTACCTGTGGTATTCAGTGTCTCCTGTATTGTCGGTTTGTTTCAACTTGTTTGAGTAGCTATGCTTCAACTATTACTGAAGCTGATTTATCATGTGCACAATTCTGTCTTGCCTCCTCTTCCGTGTTCTAAATGTCGTCGTTGGGTGCAAACAGTCGACGGCGACACAACAATTTCTGGCGACGGAGAATTTAAGTTAGTTCCCTTTGTTAGGTCTCGAACGGCCTGCTCCAAGGAAAATCGCGTTGTCTGAAAATCAAGTCGAGTTGGCGCCACTGATTCAGGCCAAATCTTGTAACTTGGCTGGAAAAACAGAATTTCACACAGATCAAAGTCAAGTGCGCACAGAAATGAAACAAATTGACTTGTTCGGACAGGTAAGTGCACGATTTCCCACAAGGAACCGTGTGCCTTGCATTAGAACAATCTTAGTTACAAGCAGACTAGTGTTTTTCCATGTTTCAGAACATCTGTTACTACCGCTTGTTACATACCCCTCACACGTCCCGTGGTTCTTCGAGATCGATAAATTCAAATTAGCCCTCAGCCGTGATTGGAACTGGACTTAGTGTTTTCATACCCACGCCGGCCCGTGTAGTGTTCTGCAAATATACCTCCTGTCCGGTGCGTGTCTTTTTGACTCGTGGGGCGCAATCTAAGAAGTCGAACGCCTGGGGACACAACAGATTTCTGGCGACGGAGTTGTTGGATAATGGCCAGTTCTTTTGAGCAGATGCAGCAGCTCCTCCATCAACAGCAGGTGATGTTCGAGAGATCCCAGAAGCAGCTGTTCGACTTATTCGCACAGAAATTGAACATTAAACCAGAATCCCAAGATGTTGGCGCACGGATCTCAGTAGACGCAGTTACAGCATCCATTACGGAGTTCATTTTTGATGAACCAAACAGAGTAACTTTTGAATCCTTGTTTAAGAAATATGAAGATATTTTCCGCATTGAATTGGAGGCACAAGATGATGCATGGAAAGTTCGGTTGTTGTTGCGCAAACTCGGTGCAGTCGAACATGAAGACATTGGACGATCCTGTTGTAAATGCTGCAGTGTTTCCAAGTTACCAGTGCGCACAACATTACAATCGTGGCCGCGTCCCGAATCACCCTGGTCGCGAATACATGTGGACCTTGTGGATCAAGTTGAGGAAACTTTCTTTCTCGTCATTGTCGATGCATACAGTAAGTGGCCTGAAGTTATTGTGATGCGAAATACGTCCTCAAACAGTCTAATTCTTGCACTGAAGCGTGTTTTCAGTCAGCATGGGCTGCCACAAACGATCGTATCAGACAATGGATCACAGTTCACTTCCTATCAATTCGCTGACTTTCGTGCACAAAATGGAATCCAGCATATGAGGATTGCACCGTATCATCCCCAATCCAATGGCCAAGCAGAAAGGTATGTTGATACCCTGAAACGTGTTTTGTTAAAATCGAAGGGGGAGGGGACCCTGGATGAAAGGCTGGAAAATTTTCCGCTAAATTATCGGGTTACTCCGAATCCCAATGCACCAGATGGAAAGTCACCCGCTGAAGCCATCATGGGTCGAAGACTGAGAACGACGCTAGATTTGATGACTCCAAAACGCCCACCGATACATCATACGAATACACTGATGGAAACTCAATACGACAAGCGACATGGAGCACGGCACAGAAACTTTAGAATTGGTGACGCAGTGTTTGCTGCCTCTTATCAAGGGCGTCAAATCAGTTGGATACCAGGTCAAGTAGTAGGACGACGCGGAAAAGTAATGTACGATGTTCGTGTTGGCAGACAGCTATGGGTTCGCCATGCGAACCAACTACGACCGCGGATTACAAGGATACAAGAGGCGCGCCATTCCGAAGGATTTGTGTTCAATGAATTGTTGTACACTTCGCAGCCAAGCATCTCGATTAGACAGGATACACAACCCATGGAACGAGCTGAAAATAAAAAACAACTTGCAGCCCATGCAAGTAGACCCCCGAAGGAAGACATATACCAATACCGGCTCAACTATTTCAACAAGGGGGAGGTGTTAGGTCTCGAACGGCCTGCTCCAAGGGAAATCGCGTTGCCTGAAAATCAAGTCGAGTTGGCGCCACTGATTCAGGCCAAATCTTGTAACTTGGCTGGAAAAACAGAATTTCACACAGACCAAAGTCAAGTGCGCACAGAAATGAAACAAATTGACTTGTTCGGAAAGGTAAGTGCACGATTTCCCACAAGGAACCGTGTGCCTTGCATTAGAACAATCTTAGTTACAAGCAGACTAGTGTTTTTCCATGATTCAGAACATCTGTTACTACCGCTTGTTACATACCCCTCACACGTCCCGTGGTTCTTCGAGATCGATAAATTCAAATTAGCCCTCAGCCGTGATTGGAACTGGACTTAGAGTGTTTTCATACCCACGCCGGCCCGTGTAGTGTTCTGCAAATATACCTCCTGTCCGGTGCGTGTCTTTTTGACTCGTGGGGCGCAATCTAAGAAGTCGAACGCCTGGGAACACAACACCCTTCAGTAGTTTGAACAACGAAATGAGAAGACGAATATTGGCAGATGCTAGTATTTCGTATTATCTCGTCAGTACCAATACAAGAACAGGGAAATCCTTTTCTATATCTAATAGGGCGCAGTCAAGCTAATCAAATTTATGCTTATGGTCATTGTTGTTGGGAATAGGACAACGGCAACCGCACGTTGACAACTAATTGCTTTTGAACACACAAGGCTGGTCTAATTCGGCTTATCGCGACGGCCTCGGTAAATCGCGCGCTGGTAAAAACATTATTCACTCGGGCCAGACGTATCTGTTCCAACGACTGCCTGCCTGAGGAGTTTGAGCTGATCACTAAAACGCTTATGGAGAATGGTTACCCAAAGCGATTCATAGACAAACATAGCCAAGTTAGACCGCCCAAAGAAATGGTGTTGACAGCCCCAAAGAAGAAGGTGTACATTGAGCTACCATTCAAGGCTGACATCGTAGCTAGAAAGACAACCAAACGCATGGTGCCGGCCATTCAGCGTACGCACTGTGTTGCGGAGGTGGTAATTATCAACAGAACCCGGAAGTTGCCGTTACCTTCAGTAAAGGAAGATGAACCCCTCGGCGCCAAATCATATTGTGCTTACCAATTCATGTGTGCCTGCAGCATCAGTTACATATGCAGAAGCGAACGGACTTTAGATTCCAGAATGAAGGAGCACTTACCAAACTGGATTCAGTGCGAAGTAACTCAATCCACCTCCGACGATACGTGCTCGCGTAAGCCGCCAGCGTCTTCCATAGGCAGATACATATTGGCGACTCGTCATCAGGCCAATCCCTTATCGGCGTTCTGGATCTTGTTGCGTCATACGAATCCACTCCTTTTGCGATTTGCCGAGGCCGTCGCGATAAGCCGAATTAGACCAGCCTTGTGTGTTCAAAAGCAATTAGTTGTCAACGTGCGGTTGCCGTGGTCCTATTCCCAACAACAATGACCATAAGCACAAAATTAATTGGCTTGACTGCGCCCTATTAGATATAGAAAAGGATTTCCCTGTTCTTGTATTGGTACTGACGAGATAATACGAAATACTAGCATCTGCCAATATTCGTCTTCTCATTTCGTTGCTCAGACGGAGAATTTGGCAAACCATGGCAGTTCCATTGAAACAAATGCAGGCGCTTTGCCAGCAGCAGTTCGAAAAGGCACCGCAGCAGCTGATCGAGCTGTTATCGCAAAACCTGAACATTCAGACAGAATCTCCAGGATCGGCTGCACGACCTTCTGAGGACGCCATCGTAGCATCGATTTTGGACGGATTGAATGGTGTCACATTCGAATCATGGTTCAAAAAGTATGGAGGGGTTGGCTGAGCAGGATGATACCTGGAAGGTTCGATTGCTACTGAGGAAACAGAAAGCTGAGTATAAACGTTATACGAATTTTGTGTTACCCAAGAATCCAAGAGGTTTCAGTCTCGAGGAAAAGGTGAAAACATTGACAAGAATATTTGATGAGCAAGCGTCCTTAATCAATAATCGGTAAGACGGTTTAAAATTGGTCAGAGGAGATGCATATGATTTCGTTACTCATGCTGGTATCGTGAACTGAGAATGTGAACATTTTCAACTGGGCACCATAACAGGTAACCGGTTCAAGATCCTTCCCTCTGAGTTATGAATTTGCCTCTGAAGCATCCGTTCAAGCCCCAAAAGTAGGATCCATTGGAGATCACAGTGCTCTAGGTTGGTTGGCGTGTAACCGGTATCAGTCAGTGAGAGGAGCACGTCTGCTAAACGTGAACACTGGCATCTGCGGTTGGTTTAATGAGGGAAACGCTTGTGTTGCAGTTGTATCTAGCGTAATACCCTATTAAGGTGCGACGGTGAAGAAGTACATCTCCGGCGTAGAAGCATTGCGGAGCAGAGTTGACTCGCTATATAGCCGTAGAGGGCTACTGCGATAAGGTTCCACCAAGCTGCTAGCTGAACGAGATAGAAGAGTGATTTCAATAAAGTTGCTGGTGCTTTAAAGCATTTAAATGCGCTTATGGATGTAGTCAGCAGTATTTTGCACTAATTTTCTATCGAATTAGATGATTTCCTGGGTTGCTTAGATAAGGGTTAAATTAGCGCTGCGGCTGCGGAACGCATCACACATGTTTATTAGGCTATATGTAATCATATGCACACATATCTCTCACGTTATCTGATGTTCACTCCTCCGAAACTCCCGTTCTTATTACTTTTCATCTATTTCAAAGGAGCATTTATTTGATTCCGCACACTAAGCTATGTTCGTTGTTATGTGCGTATTAAACGTCACAATTAGCAATTCCATCAATAGCACAAAATTACGGAGCAACATACCTTAATATAAGTGGATCTATTTTATTACGTCTAATTCTTTTGAATTCTCTCGCGGTATACTGGTGGAATGCCACCGGTTACTGCCAACTCTGCTTTGAAAACAGTGACTATTAAAGAAGTAATTAATATATACAGAGAGGAATGTTTTTCAACCATGACTAAAAGAACAAGAAAAATGGCTGGGGAAGGAAAGCAATAAAATATGAGGGTTAAGTCAGACGAAGGAATACGCCAATAGTGTACACGCATATACAATCTAACCATGATTGAAAACAACGGCTCGAGGGTTCTTTTTGGTTGAGAAAGGTGGCGGTGGGTCTTTATACATAGTACAAGAGAAGTATGATCGAGTGGCTTCAAATAAGAAGCTGTATGGAGTAGAAATGATAGCAGCAGTCACTATCGCAGATGGATTTAACGGAAGATAGCACCAGTGGTGGAGTTCGTGATAGAGCTGCTAACCTTTCCCCACAGGTATCCCCGAAATGTCAATGATTTTTTCAAAACTGGCCTCTAGCTCTTTCGCATCTGCACTGTCATCGCTGTCATCCGCACTCTGTACCCCGAGGTGTTTGTTGTGTCCATCAATTAATAACGCTCTTGGTTCGTCAGGAGAAGTTACGATGGGCTTTGGTGTGCCTACAGCGTCAGAATCCAGACTCTCCAGTACTAGAGAGGGAGCGGCATCAGGTGGAATACGATCTTCATCAGGAGGGAAGACGAACTGTTCCTCGTCCGTAATCAAGGCCACGTAATGTATCCATCGATCGTCATAAATTTCCAAGTAAGTGTTGACCTTTAGATGCAACTCCTGAAACAAACCGGATTATGGAGAAACAGTGCACATTGACGTACAGAGATATGGGTGTTAAGATGCTGATACGAGCGCTTCGATCCGATTAAGATTGACAAAAATGAGATGTGCGGAAAGCTTGCGACAAGGGCTTCGCGTACCGGTGGCAATTGAGCAAACTGATAACCTGCTTGCTCAAATGCTCGACGACACTCTAGATCTTCGGTTAGAAATGCCCCGACGACGGAGCGCTTGCAAAGGGATTCATCCTGAGAATAAATGGAAGATCGAAAGGGAAGGATGTGATATGTTAGAGAGGATATGGTAGGAAAACGGACGATCGCTGAAAACGGATGATGACCAGGAATGGGGACGAAGATGGGCCGCTTGTAAGCAGGAAGGTGAAGGACAGTCTGTGGATTCGACAACAAGAAGAACAGCGTTGATAGTGCAAATAGGGTAAACTATGCGCAGGAGTTTTCAGTTTACCAGTTGGTTGACAGTAGAGCGCAAAGAAACATTTGGCAGTGGGTCGAGTTCCCATTCACTGAAAATGTAGGCGATTCGGAATGAAATGCCTAACGCATTTGAGTTGGGACGCTAGCGACTATTGTTTTTCGACATTTACCCTGCCGATATGCGTTCTTTGATATTAGATGATACTTGAGAATTGATAAACATGAGATGTAAATTCGAGGTTATCACAACATGCGATTGGAAACACAAGCCGATCACTCCTAGGTCGCCTGCCTGATGGTAAGGCGTGATTGCGAAAACTAACGAGAGATGATCGAATGTAGAGTGAAAAAGAAACAGAAATAAAGGTGCGATGAAAATACCTAGATCATGAAGTGGTGATGGAATAATGTATGAATTTGATAAGTTGAAGGGAATCAAGTAACCTCCAATGAACCGAAATAATTGGCCAACGAAATATACGTGTTCAAGGGTTGAGATTGATTTTTACCCCCAAGATCACTAGCTGGGGTCACGCATACATTGTGACTGGCCAGATGAATGGCCAAAAGACAGCGATGGTCCATGGTGAAACGCAGTAGTAGAGCTACAAGGCCACTATATACGCACAAGATGAAACAGGAATAGGGATAGGCAGGCGATGAGGAAGAAAAGTGAACAAAATCACCAAAGTAATGAGGACGCCGAGCGACAGAATGGAACAGAACGATAAGAGACATGCTAGTGGACGAGCCTCAATAAGTAAGGATCAGTCAATGCGGTAGAACATGCACAAGAACAATTGCTCACATAACTACTACAAAATAGCCGAAACAAAAGTTAGCGAACAAACCTATTCTGAGTGGTCCCATCATCATCAAGGTAATGTCCAAAAGGACCTTTGATGTATTCCCCAACCTGGATTGCTTACTAGAGGACACAGTATACCTATTCCCTAATTACTCTGCCCATTTTACATTGCTTTGATTCTGTGTGCCATAATCGGTTACCATATCGAACCTTTAGTTCTTTCACTCTCGATCACTGACATATCCTTGACGTTTCGAGATCACGCATATTATTTCGTTACTGTGACACTGCCCAAATCCCCGCACGCTTTACAGTTTCTGCCCTCTTGCACTAAGATTGCAAAAGCTATTCGTAAGTCATGTACTGTATTTAATTTGCATTGAAGAACCACGGCTACAAGATAATTCGTTTTATTCTTCTGCTCAGACCGTGCGTTAGGTCTAGGTTTATTGGTTCGTAGTTTCTATTTTAGGTTTCGCACGACGTACTTAGTTTAGACTTCGTATCGTTGGTATATAAGTTGAATAGTGCAATCGCGTCCGTTCCTGGTGATTCTCTTGTCGATGTTGACGCTACTGACGCTGAGAAGCTACAAAGAGCTGAATCCCGTATCCGTCGGCTGAAGTCGGCCTTAACGAGCATGCGCATGCTGCAGGCTAAGATGGTTGGTGTTAAGGAATACTGCGAACCTGAATTTGAGTCAGATGCGCTAGGTAGTGAACGATCGCGATTTATTCCGGCCGACGCTTGTGAACTCCCGCCCGAAGCTGCCACCTGATCGTCTTTTTTAAGCCAATTAACAGGGAGCCGCGTGCCACCCGTAGCTCGATTACTTTGTCCGTCGGCAGCTGTTGGTGCCTTGGTTCGATCCCAGTCAAAGATCATTTGGCTCCGGCTTGCAACCTGACAGTAACCCATGTCCGAAATGCAAATTCAGCGGTTCTGGACCCAGCACGTCATCCTGTCTTCAAAAATGCGAACTGATCACATTCGATCGAGATTCTGCCCGCTATTGGATATTTATACGACGCTTCGAAGCTAATGTTTCCAGAACTACTTCCGAGCCAACTATCAGGCTTTCATATCTGATACAGTACTGTTGTGTCGAAGCCAAAGAAGCTATCGAAAGTTGCTTAATACTTAACCCTCGTGAAAGTTTTGAAGAAGCAATGAACATTTTGCGCAGACGCTTCGGATGGCTCCAAATAATTACTAGGACACACATTAATACTCTAACTGATGGCTCTAACATCAGGCCCAATGATTTTGCAGCTTTCTTGTTTAGCTGCGTTCGTGCTACTTGATGTTGAAACAATTGAGGTATGAATCCAATTTGAACGTGTCCAGAACAATCAGCTCTATCATCAGGAGGCTGCCCAACCATCTGCAATTCGTGGGCCGAGCATGCCGCCAGAGTTACTCGCATCGAAAGAGAAGTGAACTTCATTGATCTGACAGATTTCGTGGATTAAACCGCAGACGTCGTGGATACTTACTTGTCCTTTGCCGCACGTCCCTGCGGAGCACCGACCAGCACCGATAGAGGCAGAAGCTAAAACCTCGGGGATATACCGCTTGCCTAAACACTGCGACTTCATTAGAACGAAATTTTCCCACATGTGTTTCCTGTGGACGACGTCACTAGTTAGATCAGTGCGATGATTTCCGAAAGCTCAACCACCACGAAAGTCTGGAATTCTATCGCGCCCACCGACTGTGTCAACTGTCACAAACCGAATCATGACCTACCAAGTTGCCAATCATGAAGGTGTTGTGGAAGCAACAATTGTAAGCTGTTGCACCACTCGCTATTCCACGTTGATGAAGCAACTTCGGAACACCAAACACTGAAGGATCCAGTTTTGCTCTCAGTCACGTCGAAGGTTGTTGTGTCGCTTAGTTTGTTGCCTGTGCTTGTTTCTGGTCCTGCTGGCATCATTCAAAAATTAGCCTTAATAGATAATGGATTATATACTTCACTGATTGATTCAGCATTAGTACAAGTTATCGGGATTCAAGGGTCTGTGACGACAGTTGACATTAGCACCGTTGCTGGCCGATACCAAGTGGAGTCCCAGTTGGTTAGTGTAAGTGTTCAATCTATAAATGGTGATGAGGCGGTACAATTAAATACAATTAGGTCAGTCAGTCGTATCCCTGAAAAACTTGAAACGGGAAACAGGAACAACGACTTCTACAGATGGTCTCACCTCTCCGATCTACGCTTACCGGAGCTGGAAGGTTGATTGGTAGCGATAACCCATACCTACATTAGGCATTAAATCAGAGGCGCGGGGATCCTGATGATCCGTATGCTGTTAAAATCCCATTTGGCTGGACTGTACTGGGACCGAAAAAACAGCATGAGAATATGAGGGATCAATCTACATCACTGACAGTTGATCGAACACGGAGGATCAACTCACTTCGCTGCGATACCAATGACTTTCAGCAACTACTGAAGCAAATGTATGAAAGGGAATTTGACGGACTAGATAGTCCACGACTAACCATGTCTGTGAACGACGGACGTGCGTTGAAACTGATGGAAGCTTCCAAAAGAAAGGTTGGCGCCCACTACGAGAGTGTGTTAACATGGCAAGGCGGGAGACCTCGGTTAGCAGATGATAGGTAATTCGCACTGATGAGGTTTGTCATGTTGAAGAAAGGTTTGTCAAAGTATGCCGCACTGCGCTAAGCATACACCAAGGCAGTGGAAGAGTATATGGTTAAAGGATATGCTGAACTCGCTTCATTACAAGAACAGCAGATTAAAGGGGAAATCTGGTGCATACCATACCCTCGGTATAGCATCCAGGTAAACCCGGTAAAGCGCGAGTGGTCTACGATTGTCAAACTTCACACCGTGGAACTTCCCTCAATCAACAACTTCTACCTGGTTCCCATATGTCAAAGAGTCTAGTAGGGACGCTTTTGCAGTTCAGGTGACACCCAATCGCCGTCGCGTCCGACAACGTAGCGATGTTGTAACAGGTCAAGGTTCCGATCATCATCATCACCACCACCACCATCATCATTGTACACGTTAGCTGCAGGTGGGAAATACCTCGGTTATTTGCCGTAATAAAAAAGAAAAGAAAAAACGTGCAAGAGTGGCACAACGGATGAGTCACCAGTAACGGATGGACATCGTTCCGGAGAGCAAACAGCCGGCCATTGTGCCACAAAAAAGTTATATTATGCCTAATAATTGAGATCGTGGTTATAGTGGGACGCTAAATGAGAGAGCTGAGGGGCAAAAAAACACACAACACGAATGGCACAGGGGCCAGCTCTGTACCATATCACCAAGTGTATCCAACCAAACGTGTTCACCGTCCTTAGGACCCCGGCCCGGCAGCCGGGAGATGCCAACCGACGCCAACTTCAAAGTGAGGGATTTCATTCCTCTTGACCAAGTCGTCGCGTGGTCTCCTCTTCAATTCTTTCAACCATATCCCGGTCGAGCAAACAACTCACGTTACGGGAGTCGGTTTGCTGTCATGCACAACACGTGACCTAGCCATCGGAGCGTTATACAGCGGTGCTGAGCAGTTCACTCGCATTCCCTGTACCAAATACATGACGCAGAACACGCTCGTTGCTCACGCGATGTTCACACCAGATGTGAACTATTCTGCGAAGGCAGCGATGATCGAACAAAACTAGTCTCTTTACATCCGCCGAATTTTGCAAGCGTACAGGACGGTTGGACGGACGGGTGCATTGTAAACTCTACCCTTCAGGGAGAGAGCAATGTCGCGCGGGCATAACAGGTGGCTTGCACCAGTTGCATTTTTTCTGCTTTTTCTATGTATTGCGGCACAGTAGTTGAGGTGTTCCCAAACTCTGGCTAACGTGTATGATGATGATCACAGGTGGCAGAGATTGATAAAAGCGTCTCGAACTATTGCTATACGGTTCGTGATCCCATCTTCCGTTCCACTGGCGCTATTATAGCTGCCGAGACTTGAGTTTTTGAACAAATTCTAACTGGTCACCA